TATACAGTTCTGGTTTGTAACACCTCCAGCTCGCTTCCCATAACCATATCCCCCCTCCTCCCCCCGTTACTTATGACAGCCGAAAGATGCAAAGCAAAGGAAGACAATCTTGGAGGCTGACCTTCGCTGCCGGTGCTTCTCCCCACTCACCATCAGGCATGGACAGACTTCCCATGTCCCAAATGTTCTTGAGGCTAAAACGGATGACAGCACCAGCCAGGCCTGAATGACCCATCAGAATTCATGACCAGGTTGCCTCCCTGTCAGGACACGTTGCAACACTGAGCTTAAAGTTCACGCTGGTCACTCTGTGAGTGTCCCTCATGCCTTCGTTTGAGGTTAACATGGCACTGGGGCGTTTGTGGTTCAGCATCTTGTGGGAATTCAGCCCCTGCCAGGGGTGAGCCAAGCCCTCTGATTACATCAGAATCCTTCTCTTTGCAAAGCCCATGGATGCTGTGTGACTATCAGAACGGGATTTTGTTAGCCTGGTTAGTGCATATGTTACTCCGGCTGGCCAGCTAGTTCTGTCTGTGTTATTTGAGGGTTTTCTCCTTTTCTGATTGAACCCTGGGCCGGACAGGCGTAAACAAGTCAAATGCTGCTGCTCTAGGCAGCAACAGGAGAGAGAGAGAGAGAGAGGCCCAGTTCCTCTGCTGCTTTGCGCATCCCACGAAGCCTGTTTTTGCCTGTCTAAGGGGGCTTCTGCCTACAGTAGCTGAGGCTTGTTGTGGGCGGGAGTCTAAGCCAGGCTCGTGAAGCTCCAAGCCAAAGGCGATCTGAGGACAGGCTGCCTCTCTTCCCAGTTTGCCAAGCATAAATGAGGCACAGAAGAGAATCTCCCTAGCTGAGAGTTGAACTCCGGGCTCCTGCCACCCTCTGCTTGGCTGTTTGCTTGCAGGCATTTCATGAGCTGACCAGGTCACCTCATCAGTGCTCTGTGCACACGGATGCCCTGGTGATGTTTCCCAATCGGGTCATGAAATACCTGCAAGCAAAGATGCAGCCACCAAGGACTCCGGGGTTAATGATCCCTTCAGCTCCCCAGGACACCTGAGGCCTCTCACCTGGTGGGAACCTGTGAGCAGGTTTTCCCTGCAGATGCAGCCCACCCCTTTTGCAACCCACCCACTTAACTGAGACAGAGAAGCCCTCAGCCCATGAACGACTCCAACGCCTGAGAAGGAGGACCCTAATGGAGCCTCCTCCTCCTGGGACGACCGGCAGGAGCACCTTGGAGGCGAATGTCCACAGCTGGACTGGCCGGAGTCCTGCGAGGAGGCCTGAAGGGGGAATTCCCTGAATCAGCTGGGCATGTTTGGCCTTGAAAAAGGACAAAATAACCATGTTAGTCTCAGCTGCTTATATTTATGGCAGCCACCCTTTCCAACAGACTCCAAATGTGGCTTGCAAGATCTAGCAGTGCAAAGGTGTCAAACTGACGGCCTTTGGGCCGGATGCGTCATGCACAGACCACGCCCACCCCTGCTCCGCGAAGGGGGAAAACGCTGCGATATGTCACATGATGGCAATGTGACACCGTGAGTCTGACACCCGTATAATAGTAAGTTGAGCCATAATCAACTCCCCACCCCAGAACACAGCCAGTGATGAAAGCACAGCTTAAAAGGCCCCACCAGCCCCACAGACAAATTCACCCCTGAGTCCCATACAGAGGAGGGGCCCTGCCTGCTCTCTCTGGCTCCAGAAGGCAGGGAAGCCGGTTTCAGGCCGAATTCATTAGATGCCACCATCCTAGCGGTGGCTTTCACCCAGGCCCAAAGGGGAACTGGGCCCCAGGGGGAAAATCTCCTGGGGGGGGGGGGGGAGGGGTCCCCAGGGGCTCCAAAGGTGGGGGGGGGGGACTTGAGGCAAGGCAGCCTCGCACACTGATTGGCCTGGTTATTCTCTCCACACAGAGTTCTTCCAGTTTGCCTTGAGACGGGGTGTGCATGTACATAGGCACCCCCACCCCCTCCGGCAGGCTGCCTCGGCCCTTGGTCCCATCTCTGGGCCTGGGTGGCAGAGAGTGAGGAAAGGCCACTCACCCAAGGGGCAGCCTCTCTCTGCCTTTTGCCTTGACCTCCTGCCTGCTGGGCAGCTGACACCCCCCCTGCTGTCCCTGTCAGAAGGGAAGAGGCCCCGCCTTCCCCCCCAGACCATCTGGGGCAGCCAGAGTGGGGTGGGGGTGGGGGGTGGGGAGGGAATAGGCAGCTGAGAGGAGTGGAGGAGGCCTTGGGCCAGGAGGGCCCAGCTGTCCTTGCAACCAGAGGCTGCTCAGCGTCCTTAGCAGGGCCGTTTCCAGGCCCCCTCGCTGCAAATACGGTGCAGAGATGTGCACCGGGGCCTCTTCTAGAAGGCAGGCCCAGGAGGAGGGGCAAGAGTCGGACCTTGTGGTGGGGCTTAAGTGTGCTTGCGAGGGATGTGGGGAAGCAGGAGGTCTCTCGGGGGCAGGCAGGGGCTTCTCCGATCTTGGGCCAGCTGAGCCTTCTGGGGCGCACACAACTTTCTGCTTGGAAGCGCTGCGAACCCGTTTCGCAGAGGCAGAGGGGGCGGGCGAGAAAGGCGCCGAACCGCCGCCTCGGGCCGTGCGCGGGGGCGCCTGGCTGCCCTTCAGCTGCCAGAGGCTTTCCAGGCCTGCGGGACGGGCGGGTCTCGCTCGGGGACAGGAAGGCGGGGTAGGCGGAGGTAGAGCAGCCCCAGCCCTTGGGGAAGCAGCTGCCCCCGCGAGGCTTGGGCCGGCTTCGCGCCCTGCCCCGCGCAGCAGCCTCCGACCGCCCCGCCTCTCTTTCCCCAGCTGGGCTGCTCGTGACCGACTACTTCACCCGGACGCCCCGCAAGCTGAATGCCTTCCGCTCCTTCACCAGCCTGGAGCTCTTCCATTTCCGCATCCCGGAGGACACGGCGGCGGCCGTCTGGAATCTGGTCACCTTCAAAGAGCAGGGCGGCAGCCTGGGGGACCGATGCCCGGACCGGAGCATCACCGTGTGAGTCCAGGCGGGGCTGTTGGCCGGGCTCGCTTCCAGGCTCGCTTCTTGCCGCGGCCGGCCTGCAGGGTCCAGCAAAGCTGTAACGCTGCTGTTTCTGCCCGGGGACTCTTCAGCCGGCCCCCGGCCCCTCGAGGGAAGGGTCCGGCCCTTGCAGCATTTGCGGGACGCCCAAAGCTTTACGCCCCGAGCTAACGAAGACTCGCGGGGAACGGAAAACTTTGCGCTGGGGCCGGGAGGTTTGGCTTTGTTGATTCGCGGGGCAGATGCCAGGGTCCAGCCCTGCCATCCTCTGCAGCCCCTTGAAGGGCCGGGGCAGGGAAGGGGGTAGGGAAAGCTTTGCAGGCCCAAGCAGAGGGCTGGATTCCCATCTTGGCAGAGAAAGGTGAACTCCCCAGCCCCCTCCTCCTCTCGCAGCGCCCAGGCTCTCCTGCCTCCAACTCCTGCCTCGTCTCTCTGACCAGGTATTTCCGCTCAGGAGCGCCACCAGTCATTAACCCGCTGGGCATGCACTTCCCCAGGGACACAGCTGTGCCCGGCTCCTTTGCCCTCACGCTCACCTGGACGCTGCCCAACCGCACCACAGGGGTCTTCAACATCACCAGCCCCCTGCCCGGGGACTGGTTCCTGGCTGCCCACCTGCCCAAAGAGCAGGGCAAGATCTCTGTCAAGGTGAGGGGGGGCTGCAGGGGGGGCAGATCCCTGGTGGATCTGGGAGAGCCGGTCCCAGGGGAGGAACGAGGGCAGGTAATCTGCTGCAGTGGGTGGGGATGATGGAGGTTGTGGCCGCTTTGAGGCCTCCGTGGAGTGAAAAAGGCCAAAGAAGCCGTGATGCTTGTAACCTCCCCCCCCCAAAAAAAATGCCTGGGGAGGGAGAAGCCCCAGGAGACGGCTGGGAAGAAGCCTTGGTCGGGGCAGGGCCGTTGGCAGACGGGGGAGCTCCTGCCCCGCTCAGTTCGCTCCTCCAAAGGGAGGCAGCCCAGAATGAAGAGCTTGGGTGGGGGATGGGAGGCACTTCCCTGCCTCTGCCCCAGTGGGGGGGGGGCTTGGGGGGGGTGCAGGGATTACCTAACAAGGGGTTCCTTGGGTGGGAAGAAGCCCCAGGGAGGCCATTGGCGTCACACCTGTCTCGAGCGCGGCCACCGGGCCCCGGACTCTTAGGAGGGGTCCATGCAGCAGCTTCAGGCCTTCCTGCAGGGCTGGGTCTGTGGTTGGGGGACAGTTAGACTGGGTTGGGGTCTTCTGACAGGGCCCCCTTTCCCCACAGGGACTTGCAGAGGACTGCCAGTATCTCTTCCAGCCGCAGCTCATCGTCCAGCGCCTGGTGGGAATTGGGGTGCTGCACCCAGGCTATGAGACGGACCACGTCCTCCCACCCCACAACAGGTCCCTGCTCTACAAGTGAGTGCCGTGGCCGAGGAAGGGGGGCTCCTCCTCCCCGGGGTGTGGGAAGTGGGCGTCCTGAGGGGGGCCCAAGGGAACGAGGTGCCCCAGGTGCTTCCAAGGTAGCATAAAATCTCACAAGGGGACCCTGGAAGAGGGAGGGAAGCCTCGGGGGGGGGGCACCTTTCCTGCAGGGTCTGCTCCTTCCCACCTTCCCACAAAAGCTCCTCCTGCGACTCTTCCCTGTGGGCTTTTGCAGGGGGGGGAGCTCGAGGGACATTTGAAGGGAGGACCCCCCCACTGGCCTAGCCGGGGGTCCCAGTGAGGCCAAGATGACCAGTTAGCCATCTTGAGGCGGGGCAATGAGACTCCTTTGCCCGCAGGGTCTTCGTGCCTAGCTACACCTCCAGGGTGCTCGTGCAGTTGCGCAACTGCCACAGGGGCAACCAGAGTGCGCCCGGCTGCCCGCTGGGGCTGAGAGTGCGTGGCAAGGCCCCCCCTCTGCACAACTCCACAGCCGTGGACTGCCGAGAGCAGCTGCCCTGCCGCCTCGTGCTGGAGCGCCCCTTCTGGCAAAACTGGTACTTCGTCCTGGTGGAGAAGCTTCTGCCGCTGCCTGACCGGATCAGCTTCCAGCTGGGGGTGCAGTTGAAGGGTGAGCTGGGCCCACGAGGGACGGAGGACCCCAGGGGACGCGGCATGGAAGGGGCAGCGCAGAATCGTGCGTGGGAGACTCCGTGGAACGGAGCCTGCCCGCCTGGTGGGAGGCGTTTCCTCCACTGAGGCCCTCTGAGACCAGACCCTCCCCCCTCCCCCAGGCAGCAGGTTGGATGTCAGGGACGGAGGGCAGGTGGGCTTGAGGGGGAGGGCATCTCCTTTCCTGGGAGAAACCTGTGTGTGGGGGGGAGGCTGACCACCCTGGTCCAGCAGACAGAGGTGGGGGGAGGAGGCCTGGGCCGTGAGGGAGGGGGCTGCTCCTCTGGCACTGCCAAGTGGCAAAGCGCTTGGTCTCCCTCTTCCCAAGTCAGCAGCTTCGGGGGAGGGAGGGGCCTGATGAAGGGAGGGAGGGGCCCCGGTTGGCTCCCTCCGCTGCCCCTGGTGTGGAAAGGCCCCCTTGGCCGAAGGCTCCGCTGGGACTGGATCCAGGGCCCTACGGAGGGTCTCCTGGAGGAGGCTTCTCATTTGGGGGGGGGGGCTGCTGGAATGAGGGGCTGCCGGGTGGGCCACGATCCAAGTGCTGCTGTCACGACTCCAATAAAGAACGGACTGGAGCTGACACAGCCAGGATGCGATACCGCCACATTCTTTCACTTGCCGAGTGTTTCCACGTGGACGCTAGAATGAATATTTGTCAAATAACTAACATCGGCTTCCTGTCAAGGAGGGGTGTAATAATGATGATTCACGGCTGGATGTCAAGGGGGTGATATTGTAATGATGATAGGAAATAAATGAGGGTACATGGACCCATCCAGCAGGGGAAAGGTGCAGTTCCCATGTTTCTTTAATTTAAGGATGCCGGATGTTAGGCAGTGAAGCCAGACGGAAGGTGGTTGTAGTAATTATGCTGTTATCCAAAGTATAACATGTTTTATAAATACAGCTCTGGGTTGCACCGAAACCCAGAGCTGACTTTATAAACATAATTTGATTGCGGTTACCTGTTGTGGTCTGGAAGACGAATAAAAAACTTCACTGAAGCTACAGGAGCGACTTGATGTCTTATGATTCACCCCCTCAACCTCAGACGAACAGCTGAGAGCTGCCCCTTCCTGTCTTTGCAGACTGCTCCCGGATTGGCCTGGGGGAAGCCCAGCTACCTGCCTCCCACCTGAACATGCCTCACTCCTTCGGCTCCCCAGGAGGGCTGGCCCTGGCAGACCTCCTCTCCCCCTCCCTCCCCAGCGGTTTCCAGCCCCCGGCCACCCCCACGTCCCCCAGGCCTCCCAGAGGAGGGGAGCACTGCTGGCCCACCCGGCCCACTCTGCGCAACGAGCTGGACACCTTCTCGGTGCACTTCTACATCTTCTTTGGGCCCAACGTCTCGGTGCCCCCTGACCGGCCAGCCGTCTTTGCCATCAACCTCCTGCCCGTGCTGGACAGCGGAGGGATCCTCAACCTGGAGCTGAAGCTGAACGTGGTGCGTCCTTTGGGCAGGTCCTGGGAGGGTCAGCGGGTCAGCGGCTGCGGGGCGCGGAAGCAGCTGGCTGGGCAGGGGTGGGAGCCCAGGTGAAGGCAGGAGTAGAGAGTCGGTCTCCTCCAGCCACCCTCTGCCCCAAAGTGGCACCCCAAGACAGCGAGGGGTGACTTTGAAGGGCTTGGGGTGATGGTGCAGCCTCCTCGTCTCTCGTCCTTTAGTCCTCTCTGCGTGGGGAGAACGCCTCCATCTTTGCCTGTTTGAACCACGAGGTGCCTTTGGCCTCAGAAGGGGACTCCTCGATCACCTGCCAGACAGGTAAGGTCAGAAGCCCCCCTCCGCCCATCTGCGGTGACCGGCAGGGGCTCCCCTTGCAGGGGGCTTTTGCTGCACCGCACAAGCAAGGCCAGGAGGCCGCCCTCAGCCGCTGCTTCTCCCCGGCAGAGCTGCTGGCTGGGTTCCTGCTGTCCATCAACGCCGCCTCCCCCTTCGCCCGAGTGCGGATTCCCTACCCGCAGACGGGGAGCTGGTACCTGAGTCTGCGCTCGCTCTGCACCATGGACCGAAGGTAGGGCAGCCTGGCGGGGCATCCCCAGGAAGGCAAGCCTGCTTGGCTGGAGATGCCCCTGCCTGTGCCCGGCAGTTAACTTTCCTGCTGGCCGTTTATATTCTGCCCCTCTTGAGTTAAGAGTGATCCTCTTGTCCAAATGCCCAGCTAAATGTTTTGAGAGGGCATGGCCTGTTTCGAAGGAGGGACGGAATCCATGTGTCCCCCGCCCCCCTTGATATCGGTGCTGCAACAGTCAGGGCAGGAGAGTCCCTAGCTTCTGTGAGCCTCTCTGTGGGGCTGCTGGGGGTGTGTGTGGAGGGGGGGGGGCTCAGCTGTGGGGGGAAATGCCTCATCTAGCAGGAAGCAGCCCTGGGGTGCCTGCAGAAGCTGCTGGGGGCTCTTCCGCAGTGAGGCCGTAGCCCGAGGTGCCCCAAGGTGCTCAAAACAGCATCTGAAGCGGAAAGGCAGACGAATAGCAAGAGCACTTAGACTTACATAGCGCTTCATCGTCCTTTTTACAGTCCTCTCTAAGCGGTTTTCTTGCCCCCCAACAATCTGGGTTCTCATTTTACCCACCTCGGAAGGACGGAAGGCTGAGCCGGTGAGATTCAAACTGCCGGCAGCAGAAGTCGGGCTTGCAGTGCTGCACTCTAACAACTGCGCCACCACGGCTCATTTATTTACGCCTAAGCAAAGGATAGGTTTCCCACAAGTAGAAGAAGGTGGAAAGACCCTCAGGAAAAATGGGGGGGGGGGAGACTGTTTATATACACCTTAAACACATTGGGCTTGGAATGGGTTTTTCAGTTGGTCAGCACTACTTCAATCTTCAAACACGCAGAACCTGTACATTGTACCACGTATTATTCCGTAACATTCTCTGCATCCCTTGTTAATAACTCCTTCAATATTCAAGAGGTTGAACCACGAGGAGTTTTTGAGTTATTAAAGTTCACTTTTCTACACAATTCTCTGAGTTTTTTCCCATATCAACCATGTCTTCTTTCTTCAAAGGAGCCAGAAACGCCAAAGGCGGCTCGCCCCTTTTGCCCCCATCAGTGGGAGGCCTGGCAGTTCTTGGGTGGCACCCCTGGAAGAGGCTCTGGGTCCCCCCCAGCCCCCCCCAGCCCCGGCTCTCCTTCCGCTTGCTGGCCTCTGGGCCTTCTCCCTCCGGGCAGCTGGGCCCGGCTGCCTGGCCTCAGGCAGCAGTGGGGATGCTGACAGGGTGCTCCCTCCCTCCCTCCCTCCCTGCAGGCCCTCGTCCTGTGGGAACGTGACTGCCGAGGTGTACCTGCGCGCCTTCCTCTCCCCCTGCATCAATGACTGCGGCCCCTACGGCCAGTGCAAGCTTCTGCGCTCCAACAACTACCTATACGCGGCCTGTGAGTGCAAAGCAGGTGAGTGGGTAGTGGGTGGGCCTGCCCCCCCCTCGATGCTGCCTGGAGGGAGGGGCTCCCTTCCCACCTGGCTCCAGGCTGCTGCTCTGTGGGGGGAGCCCAGCCTGGCAGGGGCCGTCCCTGATGCCGGTCCTTGCCTGCAGGCTGGAGCGGCTGGGGCTGCACCGACAATGCAGCCGCCTTCTCCTACGGCTTCCAGCTGCTCTCCACCCTCCTCCTGTGCCTGAGCAACCTCATGTTCGTCCCGCCAGTGGCCATTGCGGTGCGGACCGGCTACCTGCTGGAGGCAGCCGTCTACATCTTCACCATGTTCTTCTCCACGGTGAGACCTGCCAGGGATGGGCCCCCTCCCCAAGACAGACACAGAGGGAGGGGAAGGGCAGGGAGCTGTTGGTGGGGGGAGGCTCACCTTCAGTGTTCGGGGGGGGGGGGGGGGGGAGATGGGGAGGCAGGTCCAGACTGGCTCTGGTGCTGCCTGCTCCGACGTGCAAATTTCTCTAACTTGGTTTCCTGCCCCAGTGGCTTTAAGCCAGGGATTGGCCAGCCACTCAGCCTTCTGGGTGGAAGGGGGGGGGGCGCCCACCCCTTTTCTAGTTCCCGGTGACGCCCTGGGTTGGATGAGCCCCGAAGGAGCCTTGTGGCCTTCTGGCCAAAGCCTCTTTAACTGGCAAAGCCTCCCCAGCAGCCACAATGGCCAGTCCAGCTGCCCAGCATGCTAGAAGAGTCGCCTCCCTCACCGCTCTGGTGCAACTGAGTCCTGGGAGGGGGGCTCTATCTCCCCCACCCGCCCACCCCCTGCCCCAAGACCTCCCTGAAGTCTCTGGGGGTCTGGCCTGGCAGGGGCCCCCACAGGAAAGGCCAGCTGGCCAGGCTGCAGGGCAAGGGCTGCCCGGGTGGAGGCAAGCGCATGGGAGTGACCCGTTCTGCCCCCGCCAGTTCTACCACGCGTGTGACCAGCCGGGCATCGTGGTTTTCTGCATCATGGACTACGACGTGCTGCAGTTCTGCGACTTCTTGGGCTCCCTCATGTCTGTCTGGGTCACCGTCATCGCCATGGCCTGCCTACAGCCCGTCATCAAACAGGTAGAGAGAAGGAGCAGCCGGGAACCCAGGGTGGCCTCCCGCACAGGGCTGTTGTGTGGGAAAGGGGGATCGCGGTGGATGCTGCCCTGGATCACATAGGAAAGGCTAGAAATTGCCATCATCTCAGCTTTGACCCTCCCCCCCGCAGTCCAGAGTAAAGGAACGCCTGGGCACGCTCCCTCCCCCTGCGCTGCTGCTGTGCCAGTGTGGGGAACAGTCTTCTCATCGGGGTCAGAGGCTGTGGGGCAGGAGAGCCCCAGCAGCGTCCAGGAGGCTCGGGCCCTGCCGGGGTGTGTGTGTGTGTAAGAGGAGCGGTGACCCTGGCATGCCAGCAAGGAAGCCCCATGGCCCGTGCGTGTGTGTGTGCGTGTGTGCATGTGTGTGTTGCTGCTACCAGCCACCTGTGGGGCTCGGGGCTCCCCTGCTGGGCCGCCTCTTCTGCTGCAGGGAGGGCTGGGGAGGCGGAGGGCCCTGAAGGGGGCGCTGCTCCTGACCCCCTGCGCTTCTCCCCTGAACAGGTGCTGTACCTGCTGGGAGCCATGCTGCTCTCCATGGCCCTGCAGCTGGACCGGCACGGCCTCTGGAACCTGCTGGGGCCCAGCCTCTTTGCCGTGGGCGTCATGGCCGCTGCTTGGGTAAGGACCCCGGCCTCCCCCCCGCCCCAGCCTCGCTGTGGGGCTTCCAGGTGGAAAGGCCTCTGGACGCGCAGCAAGGGCCTCACACCCACGAACCGTCCAGCCCCTTCGGGAGGCAGCCTGGCTTTGGGGGAACAGCCGCCTCCTCGCCCTGCAGAAAAGGGGGGCCACGCCTGCTCCCCCAAGCGCGGGGGGTGGGGGCAGGGGGGCTCCATTTCCAGCAAACCTTGTGGCCGGGCCCCCTGGGGGAGGCCGCCCCGGGGGGAGGGCGGGGGGGGGGGGGGGGGGTGGAGCTGCCCAGAACGGCTGAGGGGCACGAGCGGCCACCCCTCGGCTGGCTCCAACCTTCTTCCGCCTGCAGACGGTGCGCAGCATCCGCCGGCGGCATTGCTACCCGCCCACCTGGCAGCGCTGGACCTTCTGCCTCCTGCCTGGGGCCCTGATCGCCGCCTCGGCCGTGCTGCTCTACGCATTTGTGGAGACGGAGGAGAACTACTTCTACATCCACAGCATCTGGCACATGCTGATTGCTGGCAGCGTGGGCTTCTTGCTGCCACCCCAGCCCAAGGCAGAGGCGTCCGGGCTGGCGGGGCCCCTGCCTCGCCGGAAGGGCTGCGGCTACCAGCTGTGCATCAATGAGCAGGAGGAGTTGGGCCTGGTGGATCCCGGCACGGCTGGCCCTGGCGTCTCCATCACCAGCGTCTGCACCAGCTGATGCAGGGGGGCGGCTTAGGGGACTTCAGACAGACGGGCAGCCTGGCGGACCACTCTTGCTCTGGACTCTGTGCCAACTATGGACCCCTCCCGCCTTGGCCCAGGGACCTCTGGTGCCAAGGGAGGGGAGCCTGCCATGTTCCTACCGGCCTGGCCGCCCAGGGACGATGCAGAAGAGGAGTCTTCCTCCCGCACCAGGCCCTCCCCTTGCGCCCCCTCCCCGATATGCACACACTGCACTGCAAGAGCCTTTCCAGGGGGGGGAGCAGCCCCCCATCCCTGCAAGCTCAAGGGCTTTGCACCCTCAGAGGGGCACAGCAGCAGCCGCTTCCAGCCTCAGAAGTCTGGGGGGAGCCGCCCGGTCTGGCTGGATCCCCACAGGAAGGCCAGGCGGCTGCTGGTGCCCCCCCACCCCCGCCTGACTGAGGAGGGAGACCCAAGATTTCCCCAGAAGTCTCCCCTCCTGCAGCGGTTGGGGCAGCCGGGCCCTGCCCACGCCGGGAAAGTTTCCTGGGCGCCGATCTTTTCCCACCTCCTGGCGGCCCCCAACGGGACCGGCCGCTGCGACGGCCTGGTGATGCGGGGGGGGGGTCGGGGGTCTCCTCAGCTGGCCGGTCTTTCTGGGCAGCGGCCTCCAAGTTCCAGGGCCACGTCCGGCACGGCCCCCGCGGGCTCTCCATCCACCGGGAGAGCCGCCGGGGAACGAGGGGGAGCCCGGGCCCCGCCAACAGGGCCCAGCAAACTCCCGCTCCGCCCGCTGTATCGCACCGGCATTAAAGGGAGACGCCCGTCCAGCCGGTTTCTGCTCGGCCTCCGCGCGCCTTTTGCACCGACCCACCGGCCGGCGAGCGGGGGGGGGGGGGGGGGGGGGGGCACCGCGCTTCCACCAGGGCGGCCGGCTGTGGCTGATGGGGCGGGCAGTTCTAGGCCGCCTCCCACCGTTTCCAGCCCCCAATCCCGGGCAAGCTCGGGGGCGGCTCGGACTCCGTTCCCTTCGCTTTCCACGCAGCGCCGCTCGAGTCGCCAGGGAGGCCGCGGACCTTCCACGCGGGGCCGCCCCGGCAAAGCCCGCAGGTCCGCCTCGCCGCCCCCTCCTTCTCCCCCGCGGGGCTCCCGGCTCGCCCGCCCCGCCCTCCCCAGGGGGAGGGGCTTCCTTCCGGGATCCGCCCTCCCGTTTCCCGACAGCCTTTGCAGGGAGGCAGAGCTCCCCCTCCCCGGAAGTGGCGCGCCGCCGAGGCTCCGCCCAGGCTGAGGGGCGGGGCCTGCTTCCGGCGACGCGGCTGCTGGGGTCCGTCGTGCGGGGAGCGCCATGGCGGCCGCGCGGTGCCTCCCGATGCTGCTGCTGCTTCTGCTGCTGGCGGGGGCCGAGGCGGGCGGCGGGCTCTACTCGCGGGAGGCCAACGAGGCCGCCGCTACGGCCTCCGCCGCCGAGTTCCGCCTGGTGCGCCTGAACCAGCTGTGGGAGAAGGCGCAGCGTGTGAGTGGCGGGCGGGCGGGCGCGGGGGGACGGACACGGGCGCAGGCGAGGCCGGGCGGCGGGACTGACGGGGCGGCCGCCTCTCTCCCTCCCTCCGGGCACAGGTGGGGCTCCCGGCGGTGCGCCTGGCCGAGCTGCACAGCGACCTGCGGCTGCAGGAGAAGGACGAGCTGAGCTGGAAGAAGCTGAAGGCGGCCGGGCTGGACGAGGACGGGGAGCGGGAGGCCCGCCTGAGGCGCCGCCTGGAGGGTGAGAGGGGAGCCGGGACCCCCCACCGCCCCCTTTGGCAGAGAGGCCGGTCCGCTCCCCCCCCCCCGACGGCGGCTCCTCCCTGCCTGCCTCCCTGCGTGCCCCGAGGCCGCCGGTTCCTCCATCTCCCCCCCCCACCCCGCGAAGGCCTCGTGGCTGCCGGTTAACTCCGCGAATGCGCTGAGCTGCCCCTGAAAGGCGGGCTGGTCTTGGGCTCCCCGGTCCCGCTGCCCGAGTCCTCTGCCTGTGCTCCCTAAAGGGCCCCGGCTGGCCCGGCCTCTCCACCTGGCCAGGACCCCCTAGAAGCCCCCCTCCCCCTCAGCCCCCCCCCCGCCGGAACCGGTGGATCATTAACTGATGTCGGAGCAGTTCCCAGATCAGAAGCGGCCCTTGGCTCCCGTGGCCGGCCAAGGCTCCATGGACGTCGGGTGCATTGTGGCCGAGCCAGAGCTGAGGATCGCAGGCCAAACTCCAACCCAGCTGGACCTTTATGGTCAGGGCACAACCCGTGGACCCTGAGATCGGCTGAGCCTCCCTTAGGGCCCCCCTCTCAGCGCCAGTACATATCAGTGACTCTCCGGGAAAGAACGGAAACCCCACACCCTACAAATCGTGCTAACAACACACGGTCCTCCACACGTCTCCGTGCGTAACATTACGTTATAATATATTGCACCAATATGAACGTGTTGTGCCGGCCCTGCGAGTCCACCATGCTACATACTTACGATGTTATCCACGGATAAAAGCTGTTCTTCAACCTGTTGGTGCGGCTGGCTGTGCTTCTAGATCTCCTACCCGATGGTGGGAGAGGGAAGAAGGGCTGACTGGGGTGTGAGCTGCCCCTGACTCCTTCGCGTTCTCCCTCCCATCACTGACAGACCCCCGTGGCCGATCCGGGTCAAGGAGGGTGTTTTTGGAACGGGTCGCTTCAGGTGTAGGTCGGTAGGCAGCTGCCGCTTTCTCTCTGCTGGCTAACCTTGTAGCGGCCTGTGGGGAAGGCGCAGCAGGGGCTTTCACTCCCCCCCCCCACAGCACCCTCCCTCCCTCCCACCCAGACTGTCTCTCGTGGTAGCGAGGCACAAGCAAGCCTGAAGTGGCAGCAGTTAATACTTGACTAAAATAGGTCAAATGGCCCCGGATGTGCGCTTGCTTTGTCCAGAATATGTTGCTTCACTGAATCCGATTAAAGGTCAGTCCACTCTGTGGTTGTGGTTGTGGGGGGGATTTCCCAAAGTGCAGAAAGGGCCAGATCCTCCTGACACCCCAGGGGAGTCCAGTGGCTGCTCACTCCCAGTTTCGCAAAACGGTGAAAATAAGTGCGGGTGACCTGGGCCCAAATTGCTGCCTGTTTCTCCTTCGGTTTCCCTCCAGTGACCATGACTAAGTACGGCTTGAGTGGGAAGAAGGAGGGGCAGCACTGGGAGACCAACCACATCCAGGAGGGCTTCGCGCAGGATGGCCTTGGGGACCCCCGGCTGGAGAAACTCTGGAACAAGGTCGGTTTGGAGCCCCCAGAGTGGGGGGGGGGGCGCTTATTGGAGGGCTTCGGCTTTTCATTGGATCAGAGTTTTCTTTTCCGTTTCCCCCCAAGTGGGCATGTTAAAAAGCCAGGCTTGAGGGGACACGATGCCCAGTTGTGTTGCAGGGAGAAGGAAGATCATTGGCACCCTATAATCTGGTTGGGAGGGATAAGAAGCCCCCCCTTTGGTTCAGGGGCTTCAGGTACTGCAAGGACGCCCCCCCCCCCCCCCCCCCCCCCCCCGGAGCCCCCTTTGGCAGAGACTGGCTGCCTCTTCCCAGTCCCGGTGGTGCCTGCAAGCAGGGAGCCTCCGGTCACAGGGCCGCTGGGAACCGATCTGGCCTCCTCCGCTCTGGGAGGCCCTGCTGGGCTGCCTCCTGCTGGGCCCCGAAGAGTTGCCTTCCTCCCGCAGAATGGGGGCGGGGGGCGGGAGTGGTGCCCCGTAGCAGAATCTTTCCAGAGAATAGGATATCAGGGGGGTTAGCTAACGAATCAAATCTAAAGGGCCGCTCGCCTCACCAGCGGTAATTTGGGCAGCGTGCAATAATCCAATAGAGTCATGCGTGTACGAAAACCATATAAACGTGTAAGAGCGCTATTAACAACTCGGTATTGAAGCATTCATGTTAACATTTAATATCAACTGCAGCTAAATTATTAAATGCTTCCCGTTCGATTCCCCCGGGAAATGTATCTCCAGTGTCCCATTGCAAAGTTTTCGGAAGCGACTCTTCCACTGAGGCCACTTTTGGGCAGAGAGGAGCAACCCTCCTGCTTTCTCTCTTCAAGGCCAAAAGCTCCGGGAAGTTCTCGGAGGAGGAGCTGGAGAGGTTGTGGAGGGAATTCCAGCACCACAGAGAGAAAGTCCACGAATACAACATCCTGCTGGAGACTGTGAGCCGGACGGAAGGTAGGGAGGGAGAGGGGTGAGCCCCCAGGGAGTTGGAGGGGGGGGCAGCGAGGCAGGCAGGCAGGCAGAGCCTTGCCTTAGGGCGCCCGGCTGGCTCAGGTGGTCTGTCGTGGAGTGAAGCAGTCTCTAAGCAGGAAGCCAGTGCCCGGGGCTGCTTCCCAGTCTTTCCCTTTGGCTTTGAGGTCCCTGCCCGGCGGGAAGAAGACCCGGCATGAGGGCAGGTGCCCAAGGGAGCCCCTGATCTCCTCCTGTGCCCACCGCCTTGGCTGGAGTTTCAGGGCCCCTGCAGGGCCTTTCTCTGGGGCACTGCTGGGCGCTGCTTCCTCCCGTTTGGTTCTGAACAAGAGACACCCCCCCCCCCCCCCCGGGTTTCCTGCTCTGCCTTGGCGATCGTTCATCCAGGAGGGGTTAGTGGGGCCCCACCTGTGCTGCGAGATCGGTGCCCTGGGCGGGCCTGCAGTGGGTGCCAGCTCCTCTCCTTGCAGATGTCCACAAAAACACGATCGACCGCCCGGCGGAGGAAGAGAGCGCAGCCAGGAAGGAGCTGCTGCATCGCAAGCACTCGGAGCTCAAGGAGCAGCTGCACAGCATCAACCAGGGCTTCGAGCGCCTGCGCAGAGTCAGCCACCAGGGCTACGATTCTGCCAGTGGTAGGCGCTCCCTCCCCCCTCCCCAGGGAACCGCAGGTCCTGGGGAGGGGGGAGGCAGCCAAGGGTCTCCCCCCTCTTAGTTGGTGTCAAGTCCAAATGTGGGACTCACGGCCTGGAGGCAGGTCTGCGGCTGCCCTGAGGCTGTCCGGAGGGGGCAGGAAGGGCCCTGGGACTCACTCCAGAGGAGGCCCAGA